GTTAAGGCTACCATCCTTGCTGATCCGCAAGGGCTTAAAAGCACAAATATAGTTCAGAAACCACGCGACTACTGAGACTTCCCCGGACAGGAATTCGCACACAGTACAGTGATATGTCGCCGCATATTGTCTCGGATAATAACAGGGTATTCTAGTCTCAGAACGTAGAGCGGCCCGATCACAAGCTGCCAAAACCAAAGGGAACAGTAACTACCCTGGCCATTACGAGCACAAGCAGACATGAATCAGTGTGACTGACACTACTTTGTCCTTCAGACTGCATAAGAACACGAAAAAAAACCAAAATAGCTACTACGTAAAGGTATCATAGTAACCTTACAGTATCGTACGTTCAAGCAGACACGTCTATAAAGCAGTTAGCAGAACTGTCCAGGTTACTAGGTAAACGAATATACTGACTAATATGATCTTATACGCTAGAATTTTGGTCTGAAGATTAGGCTCTCCAGCTTTCGGATTGGTAATATTTTACGCCAATAAGACTGTCGTCTGTCATGTAATTTCGAAAGAGCAAAGAAGCCGATAGGATGGTCTACAAACAGCGAGTGTTCACCTTGAAGGAGTCAGCAAAGAAGACGTCCACGTGGAAGTTCACCATGCCAACAGCAATGAGACGGTTGTCCGGAGCAGCTGCGAGGGCGGTCACCTGATCCGCAACTGTTTCTACCGGTCTGCCCGGTTTGAGACACAACGTAGGCGAGCTGGAAAAGGAAAAACAAAAAATAAGCAGAACCATGGGATCCGAAGAGAGTGTGCAAATAAGGTGGCCCCACACCCAGCCGTGGGCTTGCAGTGCAGAAGTTGGTTCGAATTTAGATCCCGAACTTCTACGGCGTCTGTGATGAAAATTAAGGCGTTAAGAATATCAGGAGGAGCGAGGCCAATCCATTTTATCAAAAAAGCTCTGGCTCCTATGATTCTTCATATTGAGTACGGCTTCATAGGTTCTATACAAATCTTTTAAAAAAGGCGAAGGGAACATCATTAATTTCAGCGGAACAGTGGCCTAAATGTAGTTATTATTGTTAGGACGAGTAGACCACATATAGCACCACTAAACCCTCAGCACAAGTACAAGCTAAAAGCCCAATCGTGTGTATTTTTTCGATTCTTTGTGTTTTAACAGGGTAACTGCAAAGCCCTCAAGTCCTTCAGTGGTCTCTTAGCGTTACCCATGTGGTTCGTGGGAGTAGACTAAGTGTAGATTTTGTCGTTGGAAATTAGACGCCGGAATACACAAGAAACAACAGTCTTGAGATTGTGTATCATTGATATTACGGCTGATTGAAGTGCATAGCTGCTAGCGTCTAGAATATAA